TATTGTCATTCATTTAAAGTTGTGTGTAGTTAAGTCCACTTCACAGTCTCTGTTTGTTGGGTCTCTATCGTCGCCTGAGGGAAATATCTGGCTGCTAAATGCTCCACTAATTTCACTGACTGTCTGTGAGCAGTTTGGTGCTGAGCGCGTGGTGTAGAGTTAAAACAGCTGAAAACGGCACCATGAGAGCAGAGAGTGTGAAACAGTGAAGCAGATAAACAATGAGCTGAAACTCAATAATGCTCTGTGAAGCTGCTTTCTGCGAATAATTCATCACTACAAGTGATCGCTTTCATTCTCACATTGTTGTGTCACTGCTTTTAGAGTGTCCAAAGCAAGAGCCTAAAAAATGCATTATATTTATATCTGCTACATGTGTTGGGATGAACAGCATCAAAATAATTCAACCATTTCTCTCGACATCTTCTTTAATGTAGAAGCTTTTCTTTTTTAGTTTTGTAGAGCAGAGTTGATGTAGGCAGGGATTTCACTCAGTCTGTTATAGCACCAGCTCTTACTCACACAGCCATGCTTATTGGAGTTCAGCAGTCATTTGACATACATTCTGAAGGGGTGTGAAGCCAGTGGAGGGCAGAGAACATCTCCTCTGGGGCCTGACTAAGCAGGACCAGTGGACTCCACAATCGCCAAGTCTTTTAGGTCACTGAGTTTTCGGGAGAAGGAGCTCAGCCTGGTGCTGAAAGAGCCTCGCTTCTGGCTGTGATCATCCCTGCGGGCCTTCAAACAAGCACACAGGCCCTTGCAGAGGCCCCCGAGGCGGCCCCGGAAATGGTTCCCGATGAAGCAGTAGAGCACAGGGTTGATGGCGGAGTTAGAGAAGCCCAGGCAGAGGGTGAGAGGGGTGAGGTTGTGAATGGTCCAGTTAACCCAGCAGCTGTCCAACCAGCCCTCACTATTCAGCACATCCATGAAGGTGACGCAGTGGAAGGGAAACCAGCAGAGGAAGAAGGCCAGGACCACAGCGGCTACTGTCCACAGGACCCGCTCCAGCCCCCTGCCCTCCAGGGGTCTGCCCCCACTGGAGCTGGGGCTTACACAGGGAGTCGGGGGTCTCTCCCTTTTACTGCTGCTCTCGTGGGACTCCAGTGATTTAAAAGAGGGCATGTTAGGGGTGTGTGACGGATTCTGCATTCTTATCAGCCCTGTATCAACCAGCAAATGTCTACCAATAGCACAGTAGCAACAGGAGATGACGAACAATGGGAGGAGGAAGGCCAGCATGATCTTCATCACCACCAGGGTCAGATACCAAGAATGATTGGGATATAAAATAACACAGGCCTCCACATCCAGCCCCTGGATGTAGTGTGTATCCCTCAGAGCCAAGGTGGGGGCAGAGCAAGCACACGCCAGAACCCACACGAAGATGCACGTGAGCCGGGCACGTTTGGGGTCCCGCGAGATTTGGGAGCGGAGTGGATGCACGATGGCCAGGTAGCGGTCCATGCTCATGGACGTGATGAAGAAGATAGATGCATAGAGGTTGAGATTGTGCAGCGCCCCACAGATCTTGCAGGCCACTCGGCCAAAGGGCCAGTTGTAGCCCCGGGAGTAGTAGACGGCCCACAGCGGCAGAGACAGCAGGAACAGCAGGTCAGACACACACAGGTTCAGCATGAAAGTGTTTGCTACGGTTCTCCTCGAGGCGCTGGCGTGGGCCAACACGGACACCGCCAGGGTGTTGACCACAGTTCCCAGAACGCAGATGATGCTGTAGATGGCCGGGATGATTGTGGTCATGGGCACAGGAGGCCAGTCTGTGCAGGGGGCGGCGGAGGGGGCAATAGAGGTGTTCAGATTGGCATTCATGGTTAAATACGGGGAAGAGGTGGAGTTGAAAGTAGCAAGGTAATTTGGGATTTCCATCATGGGACTGGCAGTACCGTTGTGTCACACAAATTGACTTCCCCCTTTCAGTTGTCCAAGGTCAGCTGGAGAGAAAACAAAACAGGGGAGTGTTTCAAATGGCTGCCTTTTATGGACGAAGAGAAAGTTTTCCTACATCATAATCTTTTTGTTGGCTCCAGTGTTTATTAGCTGCCCGCTTTGATAACTAATCAGAGCAATAGTACATTACACCACTCTTGCAGTAATGAAATACACTCAAGGGGGTTGTAATGAGCTGGCTGCTTATTGGTTTCTCAGAAGTATCTGTTTTTTTTTTAATGACTGAGATTAAGTTTTTGAAACATTCATGATATAGATGAGAAAAGTGTCACCTTCATTTTCGCTTTAACTGTTTTACAGATCACTGAAACTGATCCTATTACAGTCCAGCGCGGCACAGGAGCACTTTAATAAAAGCAGAGAAAAACCTTCAGCAGAAGGAAATTAAATCTTTATATAACTTTTTCCAATACAAAAAATAACATTAGGAAGGTTCAACTAGTGGTAGAAAAGAGAAGGTATGCATCACCGAATCAACCCAGGCTTTTTTCTATGTATCTTTTTTCTTTCTATTAATTTAAAGAATTCATTTTTACCTGGAGTTATTGGGCGTCCAGTCCGAGGAGGTTTAAGTAGTTCTTTTTGCTAAAATCCATGTCTTGACAGTTGCTCCTCGACCCCTCTGAGTGAAGTCTATGGTCCCGCACCATGTCATGCCTCTGTGATTCTGAGTGTGTGTAAAGTTTGTGTGTGTGTGGTTGGAGAAAAGAGATTGGAGGCTCTAAGAAACCAGATGAGGTTGGGGGGGGGGGGTCTTATAGCTCCCAAGAGCTTTAAGATTGTTGCACAAGAAGGAAGTTGCAACACGTCACACCTTCATCATAACCAAGAGGGCTGGACTTACCTGGACATAAGCCAGTCTGCAGAGAGGAAGAGAGAAAAAAAGCTCTTCATTCCTCATCATTCCTCCCTTTTTTCTCTCTAACCCAGAGTCTCTACTAGAAAAGGCCAAAGTTAGAAAATCAAGTCAAGATGTGTTTTACAGTTAAAGGACCGTGTCCCGAGCAGCTGTGAACACATTACACCATGCCATACCTGATGATACTGAATCGGACATCAGTTTGTTGGAGGTGTCAGATGTAAAGCCCTACATGTCCCCTCAGGGGCCTCTGACCTGAGGAATGGAGGCTCTGTGTTAATTAACCAAGGCCTCGCACTTTGTGTCATTTTTGTTCTGCCAGCGGTCAGATAAGCCATGGGAAATATTTACTCTGTCTCAGTGGAAGTCAAGCCAGCAGAGGAAAGGGTGGGGTGAGGGAGGTAGTGGAGGGGGAGGCACAGTGTGGAAGATGAATGAGGAGGAGGACGAGCAGATTCTGCAGGGAGTGAACGAGAAGATGAGAAGGGAAGACGGGGAGAAAGAGGAGATTCCCTTCAGTGGTTTTTCATTAAAGCCCCTGGTGTAAGTTAATGAGGGATGTGTGCAAAGCTCTGAGACTGATTACATCACGGCTCCTTTGATCAACTGTGTGAGCACGCAACTCTCCCTGCGTGTGCACGTGAGCATCTATGCTTCAATACTTGTGCAACGGCATAAACTTAATCTCAGCCTGGCATACATACATCAACAAAACATGCTCACCTCTGTTCACATGTGTGTTCAATGTGTGTGTGTGTGTGTGTGTGTGTGTGTGTGTGTGTGTGTGTGCGTGCACTATGCTCCATTTAGTGTCTATCAGAATGTGACATGTTCTAATAGTTGTGGGAAAGCTGACAGTGAGGATGAGAGATAGAGGCGAGACAGACAGCGGTGGGTTTCGAAGGCCGTGAATAAAGAGCCCTGTTACTGTCCACTCACAGAACATGAGGATCTGGGAATGTGCTATACGTTGCAAAACCGTAAAACCGGATAGTTACGCTTCCCAAAACGGAAACTTCATAATACAGTGTTCTTCCACTGGCATGCTGGGTATGTGCAGTTGTTCTCACACACACAGAGCAAGGCCAAGGACCCTTGGTTACAACACGCAACAATGAAAAACAGATTTTTATGCTGACTTGTTGGCCAATAGAAATGGATGATGACAGAAACAGTCTCTGCCTCCACACACTCACTCGCTTGGGACTTAACTACCCAACATTAGTCCTGTCTACATGTCCACACATCAGGAGGACTAATCACTGCCTAAATACAGTATATGTAGTGTTAAAAGTTTTTGAGTATTCCTACTTACATTATACATACATTTTTATTATAATACTTCCAGCCTACAAGTGACCCTCCACCACAACCTTTTACTATACCTCCACAGCCCCAGATGTACCCGTCCCACGCCCCATCGCCCCATCAAAACACCCCAACCCCTCCA